CGGCCGCTCCCCGCCTCGCCCTCCCCCGCTTCCCCTCCTCCTGCCTCCTCCCCGGCTCCGGGGCCGACAAGCCCAGCCGCAACCTTTAGCCGGAGACGGACCTCTCGATTGATTCTGCACAAGACGCCAGCAGCCGCTTCCCCTCTAATGCCACCCCCCTCCCCACCCCAATAAAACAGCCCCCCGGCCGGCCCCAGAGAGAAACCCGCACTCCGGCACAAATGCACAATCAGCGCAGAGGGGAGGGCAGGGGGGAAGAGGGCGAAGGAAGCACAGCAAGGGGGGAAAGGAGAGGGAGAGGAAAAATTAAAAGGGCACAAGGCTGTTCATCACCAACATGGCTGCCTTAGCTCAGACCTAAAAGAGGAATAACCCAGGCTGTGTCTTTGTCAGTTTCACCTCTGTAACCCTAAACTAATGCACAAAACAACGGAGGAGGCTGCAGAGGGGAAGGAGACAGGGAGAGAAGGAAGGAGAAAATGGCAAAAGAGGGGGCACTTACGTGAAGAGAGGCGCTTGGGCTGCTCCTGCTTCCTCCTGGGCATTTTCCCCCTTTTTTCACATTCTCTTCCTTGGTTTAATGGGAGATCAAATAAAACCAAAGGGGGGCAAAGACAGGCAAAAAGCGGGGGCCGGGGCCGGCCGGCAGCGGGGGGTTTCCTCTTCTGCTGGGTAACGGGATTGAAGCTGGTTTTCCTGGAGCCAACAAGAAGGGGGTTTCTTTTGCTTCCCCCCTTTTCTTTCTTTCGTCCCCCCACACCCCCTCCCCCGGTCGTGCACCTGGCTTGTCCCCGGTCGCAATATTCTTCAATGGGAAGGCTCTAATCTGTGTGAGAGTGAGTGTGTGCTATGTGCGGTGTCAATAATGAGGGCTGGTGCGGCGGTGTCTATGGCTGCTCTCTGTGTGTCTCCAAGCCCCTAACTAACACTAATGCAGGGATCAAAGGGCAGCGGCGGCGGCGGCGGCGGCAGCAGAGCTCCCAGCTCACACACAGGCTAGAGAGACACACACACAGAGGCAGAGCAAAGAGGAAGGTGCCCCCAGGCTCCCAGGCTGTACTTTAGACACCGAATTGCAAGCGCTCCGTTTAGGAAGGGTTCACCAGGGGAGGATGCAATTCCTAAATTATTTACCCAGTTGTTTTCGATCTGAAAAGGGGTGGTGGTGGTGGGGAGTGTGTGTGTGCGCCGATCATTCACATTGCAATTCAGCCAGGTTTCCTGTAAAACCAAAGGAGAGAACTGATTACTTTTAAAAACAAATCTGATTAAAGTCTTTTCGGGGAGAGGAGAGGGAGGGGAAAGGGAGAAGGAAAAATTGCAAGATTTTAAAGAGAATTCTATGAGGGTGCTTAGAGAAAAAGCAACACCTTGTGTAGTTAATTTCAATATATTTAAGTGGGGGGGGGAGGGTGGAAAACCTCTCTCCAGCCCCCTCCTCTAAAAGTAAGTTGTTATATGGAAAAAAAGGGTGGTGGGTAAATAATTGCATTGGTGCAATAATATAATATCAGATTTTGAGAATTCCCAGAGCACTTAAAAGAACTGAAAAAAATGTGGTCAGCATAAAAAAATAATCACAACTCTTTAACAAAAAGGGGGGGAAATCAAGATTAGATTGCCCCAATGGTTGATTTAATTGCTACATAATACTCCTACAGTGCACACAGCAATCTTAACTTCTGAAATTTATTTTTTTCCTGCTGTAAAGCAGGTATATGAAGCTTTATCCAGGAGCAATTCCAATGTGCATTAAGAACCCAGTATAGCAGTTTTCATTAACTGATACCTACTTTCATTACTTCACAAATCACACATCTTTCTTCAAAGAAAGACATGAAGGAGGAGGAAAAAATAGAAAAAGGACTAGGTCTTACTAAAGCACAAAAGGTAGTTGGTGAAAGAGAAGTGTTCTCTTTGTGACTTGCAGTCATTTGGATAAAAGTTCACTTAGAGGTTGTTAATGATTTAAACTCTAAAACCTGCAACTACAATTGAAGTAAAATGGTTTGAAGCACAGCTGTTTCATATAGCTCTCTTTGTGAAAGAAAACTTTGAACTTAGTAGAATGCATAATATAAATCATGAGTCAGAGTTAGTAAAAATAAAAAAATGCATTATTCTGCTATGTATAACTTTTTGGATTTTTGCTTTTGACAACTTGACTCATCATTTTATCCTGCTAATTTAAAAATGCTCACATTTTAGCTACAACTAGATAGTTACACAGCAATAATGAGACACTACATCTTTAAAGCACAGTACACTTATTTATTACTTAATTCAACAATCCTGTGTGGTAATTAATTATATACCATTATGCCTATTTTACAGCTGAAGAAGCTAAGATACAGAAAGGTTAAATTGCCCAAGGCCAAACCCAGTTAAGATTCTGGGGACAGTTCTCCAGACTGTGCTGTGTCCCAAAACATATATAAAATTAACAATGTGTACTAACAGTATCATAAAATATGCTTGACTAAATCCATATCTTGGCACATGAAACATACTGTAATATTAATGACCAAATTTGTGGGACTTTAGCTACATATATTTTGTTAAAATTAATAAAAGTTGTGGGGCTAAATCCTCCTGTACCATTTTTAAAATGTACACCACATGGAAATCTTTTTGTACTGAACTACACAAGCTTTCTGACTAGGACTTCCCTGCAGTGAAGGAGACCACAGAGTAGTGTATCCAGGCAGGGAGAGAGTGCTGGCCCTCGGATATTATCACTGATGGGGAGAGTGTGAGGACTGTTGCTTTCTGCAATATCACCTCTATCCCTCCCTTCTATTCCACGTGGATTTCTGGCACAAATTAACACAGAGAGTGTCAGCATTAATTTACAATATGCTAACCTCCTGTTCCTAGTTTGCAACCCCCTTGGGGGAGGGGGACAGCTAGATGGCTGCAGTAATCAGAGACATTAGGAGGACATGGATCCCTTGAAAGAGCTGTAGGGTCATGGGGACTGGCAAGCACTACAGTAGTACAGGGCCTGTGTAGCTCTTCAGTGATCCAAAGGTTTTGGGGACCAAATCCGAATTCTGTTCCACGGAGGAAGAAATCTTGCATCTTCAACAAACTATCAGGCAGAAACTATAAATCCAAACCTGAGGGGTTTCTAGTCCTGTGTGTGGGAATAACCCATATAAGTACAAGGTGGCTTTTTGTTCTCTCACCTAACTGTATCGTCAATATTGCATGGGTCTTAAAAGGAATATGACACACTGTATTTTCTAGGCAAAATGTGAAAATCAAAGTTGCAGCAGCAGTTTTAAGAGGAGGTTACTCACCTTGCACAGTAACTGATGTTCTTCAAGATGAGTGTTCCCATGAGTGCTCCACAGTAGGTGTCAGTGCAGACTGGCCATGTGCTCTGGCCATGTGTATTCAGTGTCCTGAACCATGCATGCATGCCCCCCTTCAGTTCCTTCTCTACTCGGAGAGCCAGCCTAGCTACTCCAAAGTAGAGGGGAGGCAGGGAGGGTAGTAAAGCACCCACAGGGATGCTCATCTTGAAAAATGTCACTTATTGCACACGGTGAATAACCTCTTTGAGAGAAAGAGAGAGAGAGAGGGAGAGAGGATGCTCCACAGCAGATGACTTCAGAGCAGTATGCATCATGGAGGTAGGGACTTTGGATCAGGCAGGAATGCCATGGACAACACAGCCTTGGCCATGTTAAGACTAGAAAGCAATCCCTGTGAGAGTGCATAATGCTTAGCGAAAGTGTGATCAGATGTCCATGTGTCAGCCCTACATATGTCTGCGATGGGAACCTTGGGTAGGTAGGCTATGGATGCAGCTACTGCTCTGTTGAAATGGGCTCACACAGAGGTAGGTGGATCAACTCAGTTGGAGCAGTAGTAGAGGCAAATGCAGTCAGAAAGCCTCTGAGAGGAAATGGCCTTGCCTTTGTTATAGTCCACAACCAGTACAAACAATTTAAATGAGAACTCGAAAGGTATTATCCTATATATGTAAAAAGAAAGTGCTCAGTGGATATCCAATGTATGCATCGTTGACTTGAATTGATTGGCATAAGGCTTAGGGGGAAAAATAGGAAGGTGTATCATCTGATTTATGTGGAAAGGTGATCGAATATTTGGTAAAAATTTTGGATGAGTACAGAGGGTCACTTTGTCTTTGAAAAAGATAATATAAGGAGGTTGGCCATGAGAGCAGCAATCTCTCCGACTCATTGAGCTGATATAATGGTAACCAAGAATGCCATTTTCATTGACAAAAGTAATAGGGAACAGGTAACCATAAGTTCAAAGAGCTGTCAAGTATTTAGCACTAAAAGGACATCCCAAGGTTCAAGTGGTGATCTAACATCAGGATAGAGGGCCTGGAAACCTTTGAGGAACTTTTTCGTCATTGGATGTGGAAAAATTGTGGTATCATCTTGGTTTGTACAGAATTTCATTATTTCAACAAAGTGTACTTTGATAGAGCTCATTGAAAGTTTGAAAGTCCTGATTGTTTAAGGTGTGGATAGGGGTGCTGCTTCTGGTGGCATCTGTCTTTCTGATGCCAATAGAGAACAGCACTTCCATTTCTGTATATAGGTTTTGCGGGTAGATTGGGATCTGCTATGACATAGAACCAGTTGAAATGGTTCAGACCATTCTAGTTCCTGAGCAAAGAACCATTGAAATACCATGCCTTGAGGTGAAGCATGGGTAGGGTAGTGTGTTGTTTTCCCTGGTTGGTAGAGGCGATTGGGGGTCAGAGGGAGTGTGACTGACATCCTGGTGAGGAAGGGATACCAGGCCTATGAGTATGACTATGGCTTTGCCCTATCTAATTTTCTGTACTATTTTGTTCAAAAGTGGAATGGGTGGGAATGAGTATAGTAAGTGGGAGTTCCACTTGGTGAGAAGGGCATCTCCTAAAGATTCTTTGCTTATCCCCACTCTGTAGAAAAGAGGATGCACTTTTTGTTGTCATAGGTGGCAAACAGATCTATTGCAGAATGCCCCCCAATGATGGAAGATAAGTTTGAGAATATCATCGTTCAGCTGCCATTCATGCTCAGGAGGTAGGGGTCTGCTGAAAGTATCTGTGGTGGTATTGAGAGCCTTAAGATAGAAAGCATTTAGGGTGATCTTGTGCTTGAGACACCAATTCCACAGGGCAATGGCCTCCATACAAAGTGTGTGTGAACAGGCACCACCCTGTCTGTTTATGTAAAACATACATGCTACATTGTCGGTGTAGACTCTGATGTAGCTGTTGGCAATGAGCTCCAGGAAATGGGCACAGGCATATCTGACCACCCTTAGCTCTTGCACGTTTATGTGCAGAGATCTTTTTGTGCTGGACCATAGTCCCTCAGCCATATGTTGTGCCAGGTGTGCTCCCTATCCAGTAAGGGAAGCATGTGTTGTAATGGTCATAGAGGGCTCTGGGGTAGTGACTGGTAAACCTGTGTGTAGATTTGTGGTTCTTTTCCACCACGGTAGTGAACGTTTTACCACTTGAGGAATGGAGAGAGGCTTGGACAGAGGGTGTATGTTTGATCTGTAAATGGTTCAGGGCCAACCCTGAAGATAATGCATGAACAGGTGTGTGTTTTGTACCATTGAATTGTAGAAGGTCCTATGTCCCAGTAATTGGAGACAATTGTGGGTTGTGACCTGAGGGCTGAGCTGAAGTCTGGTGGCAAGTTCCTTGATTCTCAGGAATCTGTCCATTGGTAAAGAGGCTGTTGCATCTAAGTGAGCCCCTATACTGTACGATTTGTGATAGAGTGAAGGCTGACTTTGTTTTGCTTATTTGCAGGCTGAGATAGCTGAAGCATTCAGCAGTGATGTAAGTGCTGCGGTGGGAGTTGCTGCAGCGGCTGTGGATCTGGTGGCCATCTCAGAAGAGTTGAGGGCCACCAGTAATGCTGTGCACGAGATCGTGTTGTCCTCCAAGATAATTGTCTTAAACTGTTGCTTTTTTGTTTCTGGAATGTCATTAATAAATGTGCTGAGTTTGGAA